TGCTGAGAATACGTCACCAACCAGATACCATCTGGTCAGCATTGGTTCTATGTTGTACAGCAACAGATGAACTACAGTTAGTAATTGTACACCTAAGAAGTACTTCTAGGTTTGTTTATAATTACTATGATATCACAGATGCAGAAATGAAGAGTGCTTCTGTGTGGGCCATAACAGGATGTCAATATAGCCACAGGGGTGGTGTGGTGCTAAATTTGTGGAAGGTGGGGGTTACAGGCTGGGCAGGTAGGCTGCCTGTCAGTGTAGGGGTTGAAAAATGGAGGTATACAGGTATGCTGGAGCTGGTTGGAAAACTGGGAGCTGTCAGGGAGGGCACTCTCTGCAGGGGATACAACTGGCTCTCTGTATGGCACAGCCCAGGCAGGGGATCATTCATCAGGCTCTCCTGACTCCTGACACACACACGCACACACACATAGACAATTCAGCTTTGTTTTTAATTGTATACATTTAACATAAGTTTTGCAATAACTGTTTCCTAAAAAGACATCTAGATCCAAATCCATCAAGCATAACAAATATGACACTTTGTACTATTATATTCATGAATATGGAAATACCTCTCACCTCTGACAGCCATGGTTCTCATAGCCATCAAGTCTGATCATATGCAGGTGACTATTGCAGGATAGACAGGACTCTAGGTGCTGAGGAAGGTGGTATATCTTGGGAGGAGCATCCCAACTTCTCTCAAGCCAGTAATCACTCCTATGACGGCACTGACGTTTGTTTCTCTTCTTCAGAAGTGAACTGAACCATCACCAAAAACAAAAACGACATACACTATTCACTTCCATTTTCTCCCAACCTTTTCTACTTGTGCGGATGTGTGTACCTGCTTATGCTTTCCCTCCGCTTGCGTCTCTCCTGCAGGTAGCAAATGATGAAGGACAGTGACATGACGAGAATGACAATGCAGCTTATTACCGAAGCCAAAATAGCCACTTGGAAGCCGTGGTCCTCTGGTTTCATGATGGCTACGGAAGAATATGAACAGAATTAGCCTAAAAGTTTCTTTATTTTAATGTTATAAAAAGTTCTTAGCACGATTTGTATCCAGAACTCCACTGATTCCAATTTCCAAAGGACCCATTTCTTGGGTTTACCTGCACAGTAAATAGAAATAGGGTTTACTAGGACTCAGTCTAACCTTCTGGGAGGTAGTTACTCCACTGAGGGGTACTGCCATGCAGAATACATGAGATTTTCTCACTGCTCACCAGCTGGAAGCCCTCATGGCACCCGAAGGTCAGCAGTGTGCCCACAGATACCCCTGTTCCCTTCTCTATGGAAATGATCCTCTCCAGGGAGGGAACGAGGACACAAACCTCACATCTGATAGACACTCATACTCCTAACCCACACATAGACATCATTAGCAATTGCTAATAAGGCTGCTATGAGTTAGAAAGACGTAGAATACATACACATTTTAATGCTGGGATAACAGAGAAGAAGGTGCTTCTCCTTTCCCTTTCAGAGAAGGCTCCAAATAGAACACATTATGACGTATTCTTTATCCTCTCCTGATAATCCTTTCTCTTTTCGTCTTACTTGCGTTTGTCAATTTACTGTAAGATCAAGCTCATGTTGACCACAAAATTGAGCTCAGCTGGTTGACAGGGTACGTGGAGGGAGTGTTTATTTTTCTCACCAGTGTGTGTATGTGTTTCTCCACAGTGAACAAGCAAGAAACCGACCCTAAGAAGCATGTGATAAACCTGCATTCCTGTCTCATTAAGCTGGGTTTAACTGGCATGGCAATACCCACTTGGGCTTACTGATGTGATGAAGCAACATGAGTTCACAATCTATTTCTCTTTTCTTATTTCTGTTCCACCCATCAATTTCTGTCACAATACACAGAAATTTCTGCACAGTTACAGAAGTGTCCTGGACTACAGTACTGCTTCCTGCTCCTGAGTACGCACAGACCAATCTGAAATGAATCTTTAATGGCTTACCTGCTCTCCAGACACTATGTGGAAGTTATGAAGTCAGTCATGAATTACACAATTTACAAATTACACATTTATACACTTATGATCCATTCCCAAGAAAGCAAAAGAGGTCCTGGTGTTATTATTATTAACTCTACTGCAGTAGTATCTTGACATATCTTGACATCAGATTTTAAGCCTTTTTTAATTTAATATTGCCTTTTCAGAGTGGTGAAAAGTGGAACATTTACCTCATGCATTGTTATATACTTATTTTCTCTGATCCATGTCATACTGAAGGGTGTAATTGCTGTTATTGCTTACAGTAGCAAGCAATCACAGAGCTGGCGGTTAAGATTTTCTTAAGTCTCTCCTTTTTTCATTTTTAAATGTATTTTTATTTATTTACGTTTCTCTTCCTTTTCTTCTCTCTCTTTTTCATTCCCTTAGGAGTGGCTTTAACAGTGCATAGAAACGTAAATTTATAATTGGGGGAGGGGATATGGTGGTGGCACTTTTAAAAAAGACAAGATTTTGTCAATTCTACTCAAATTAGTTATGAAGCAGTAAAGCGACAAACGCAAACATTGGCAATAGGAAAAATCCCTCAGACCCACACACCTTTAATCACACAACTAGAGTTTATTTAGCTTAAACTGAATGTTTGAAGGGGTTTAGTTCTCACAGTGTTTGGCACACAAAATAAGGAAAAACCTGTAATCTTTTTTTGGGGTTTATTAAAATTTGGAAAAACATTTTAAACAAAAACAACATGTAAATATGCATAAATTATGCAGCAGCCTGTACCCAATATACAGTACTATGCAAAAGTCTTAGGCACATGCAAAGAAATGCTGTAGAGCAAAGATGCCTTCAAAAATAATGAAACTAAATATTTCTACATTTAAAAAAATACTATAAAGAGCAGGAAACAGTAATAAATGAAACAAAGTCAATATTTGGTGTGACGATCCTTCGCTTTAAAAAAAAAATAGTAGTCTCAGGTACAGTGTGTGCAGTTTTATAAGGAAATGAGCTGTAAGTTTTACTGAGCATCTTGCAGAAGCAGCCACAGTTCTTCTGGAGACTTTGACTGTCACACTTCCTTCTTATTTTTGCAGCAAAAACCAGCAGCCTTCATTATGTTTTTTTGTCTGAAAAGTGTCTCTTATGTAATATGCTGCTTTCTTTACTGACATACAAACATTTTTCTGTAACATTTAATTTTGTGCTGGAAAACTAATGTTTGGAAATCTAAAATGTTTTTATACTGACTCGATAATGTAGAGGTCATCAAATAAAAATCTATAACAAAGTTTGTACTAAAAAAAAATAGGGTGCCTAAGACTTTTGCACAGTACTGTAGCTACTGCCATTTCTTATCAGAACTTGGAAAAAAAAACAAAAACAGCTGCATGTCCCCAAGAGACACACCTGGAGTGGCATCCGTGAATGTGAATGAAGGGTTAAATAATCTGTGTATTTCAAATTTCAAAAGAAATTTCACATTTCAAAATCACAGTACCTCTGAATAGCTGGATACTTACTGACAGAGCCACATGTACAGGTTCTTAACGCTTACTGTATAAAGTATTACTGTAAGGTCCAGCGCTCACTGTGATGCTGATAAGACCTAGTTCAGTTTCAAAGCTGGTGATACTGTAATGGACCTGTCAAACTGCCAAAGGCAAGTCAGCAGACTTTCACTGCTGTATAGCAAGAAAGCCCCCATTGTTTCACCTGTGGACTTGGGATCAAGATGAAGAACTTATCCTTCTCTGTAATATTTCTCGAAAAGATGGTTAGAGTAGGATATTCTAGTAGGTACAATGCCAAACCTTTTTTTTGTTGCTGGTCTAGAGTTGCCACTATACAGTGGCTTCACAAAAATGCTACACGTTCACCAGAGACTGTAACCCATATCCAAATATGCTTGGCTAAATCACTGCAAAATATAAGCACATTTTCAAAGGTTTTTTATCATAAAAGAAAATCATCAGCATCACAATGGCGTTAGTGTGCTGATCTATAACCCTAGTAGTGTATTTATTTTGGTCAAGATTTTAATCATCATGAAAGCTCTGTTTGTTTCATTTAAGGAGATTTGTGTTATTCTGGTTAGAGTTAAGAGTACCTGTTCCTATTTCCTATTTAGTTTTTAAACACACACACACGCACACATATATATGTATATGTAAATATATATATATATTGTTTAAAAACTAAATAGGAAATAGGAACAGGTACTCTTAACTCTGTATGTATATATATATATATATATATACATACTGTATATATACATACACATACTGTATATATACATATATATATATATATATATATATATATATATATATATATATATATATATATATATATATATATATATATATATATATATATATATATATATATATATATATATTTATAAAGAGCAGTTAACAGTAATAAATGAAATAAAGTCAATATTTGGTGTTACGACCCTTTGCTTCACAGCAAGCGACATTTTAAAGTAACCTTTAGCCTTACTATAATTAATTTGCAGGAATTATTCCAATTCTCTGTGCTTGATATGCTTCACTGCTTGCTGTAAATCTTTAAAACCAGAGAGAGAATGCAGTATGGCTCACCTGTACAGTTATTTGTTGGAGTCACACTGTTATTAGTTGACTCTTTTTCTTCACTAGCATCCGTGGGACTGAGGGATGGAGTCCCAGTAGAAGTCAGTGACGAAGCCAAAGTCCACACAGAAGGCATGAACAGAAACCACAACCACCCTGCCCTCCTCCAGTCCCTCTCCATCACGGCTCAGCACTGGTCACAAAAACCGACTAATGCCTGAGCGAGCTTACTTTATCATAGTTGGTGAACTCTAAGCTGCTCAGAGTCCACACAGCTCTCACTAAGCGCTTTCGTACTAAACTATGTTTATTCTGCAGCCTCAGAAAAGCTCAGCTCCGCCTGCCCAGTTCATAATGATGCAAAACAGCCGTCACATGTTTCACATGATTAACCTTCAGATATCACCCATAACAGAGGGGCACGGTGGCTTAGTGGTTAGCACTGTTGCTTTGCACCTTCGGGGGTGGGAGTTCAAATCCCACCTCTGCCCTGTGTGCATGGAGTTTGCATGTTCTCCCCATGTGAGGGTTTCCTCCCCCAGTCCAAAGACATGCATTTTAGGCTGATTGGCATTTCCAAATTGTCCATAGTGTGTGAATGGGTGTGTGTGTGAGTGATTGTGCCCTACGATGGGTTGGCACCCTGTCCAGGGTGTCCGCCGCCTTGTGCCCCGTGTCCCCTGGGGTAGGCTCCTGGCCCCCCGCGACCCTGCGTAGGATAAGCGGTACAGAGAATGGAATGGACATCACTCATAACACAAACCCAAGAGAGACCGATGGAGGTCAGCAGCCAAGGGTTTACTTGTCTGTACAGCACAGCTTGGTATGAGTATGCACTCATAATGGAATAAAAGATATTTTGCTTGTAAAACAATCATCACAAATGTACTTCATGGTTTTGAACACAATTTTTGAATACATGTAAAAATACACAAATGTACAAAAAAGTGCAAATATGTAACAAGAAAACGTACAAAACATCCAAGTCCTATTGTGTAAATCAATTTTGCACAAATGAGGTTTCAGAGTTACAAATGAAAACAAGAAATTCTTAATTGTGTGACAGTTGAAATGCATGTGTTCATATCCAGTACTGTGTGAGACTCCTTTTTCATAACTGCACGTTTTACCATCACTGTGACTGTAGAGAAGTGAAGTACCATTATCCAAAGTCAGCATTACAGAGACTAACAAATTACATCACAGAGAATATATTTGTACATTGGTGCATTGCAATATTAACCCTTCACCATAGACAGTAACTACACTGTGAGTATTTTTAGAATGAAATATTTCTAGACAGAAGTATCTATGATCAAAATGCAGTTTGTTATTTGTGTATTTAGACTCATAATTTCAGTGATACCTTAGGAAATTCACTGAGCCTAGACAATGGCTCCACCTACAGCTACAGTTGCTGAGCCGTGTGTTTGCAACTGCAGTTACTAGTAACACCCCTCACCTCAAAACTATTCACATAATCCACTCAAGTCCAGTAGGCTTGGCTACTACCTCTAATAATACTCATATAGCTCCAGAGATCTTCTACAGGCGACCTGCTTTTAAAACAGAGGAGGTACCTTCTAACACAGAGAAAGGTGCGCAAGGAAATAAAGAAAACACGGAATAGCTTTTCAGACTGCTAGTAAACACTACCCTTCATATGTAGATCTGAAGCTTCAAATGTGATTTACTACAATTAATTTATTATATTAATTACAATTCTATAAATATAAAGAGTATTTCGATACGGGGTGCTATATCAAATTTACATTCATTCATTAGTTCTGATTTACATTCATATTTACATTCATTCACTGACTGATTCATTAACCTTCAGTAACCTCTTTATCCTACCAAAGGAACACTGGGTGGAAACCAGGGATACACCCTAGACAGGATGTCAGTCCATTGTCTTACTGTTGTCTGCCATGCTAGTGTCAGTGTCTTACTGTTGTCTGCTATGCTAGTGTCAGTGTCTTACTGTTGTCTGCCATGCTAATGTCAGTGTCTTACTGTTGTCTGCCATGCTAGTGTCAGTGTCTTACTGTTGTCTGCCATGCTAGTGTCAGTGTCTTACTGTTGTCACCTATGCTAATGTCAGTGTCTTATTGTTGTCTGCCATGCTAGTGTCAGTGTCTTACTGTTGTCTGCTATGCTAGTGTTAGTGTCTTACTGTTGTCTGCTATGCTAGTGTCAGTGTCTTACTGTTGTCTGCCATGCTAATGTCAGTGTCTTATTGTTGTCTGCTATGCTAGTGTCAGTGTCTTACTGTTGTCTGCCGTGCTAGTGTCAGTGTCTTACTGTTGTCTGCCATGCTAGTGTCAGTGTCTTATTGTTGTCTGCTATGCTAGTGTCAGTGTCTTATTGTTGTCTGCTGTGCTAGTGTCAGTGTCTTACTGTTGTCTGCCATGCTAATGTCAGTGTCTTACTGTTGTCTGCCATGCTAGTGTCAGTGTCTTACTATTGTCTTACTGTAAGAGCCTTTATCTAAACAATGCTATCAGGTATCATATGCTATCATAATGCTATTATTTTTCCAAACACTACTGTTAAAGCCTATATCTAACCACTACTGTTAGAGTCTTCATGCAAACACTGCTACTAATGTTTTTATACCAACACTGCAATTCGATACTTTATCCAAAAACCTGCTGTTAGAGACTGTATCCAAGCACTGCAGTCAGAGCTTTCTTCCAAACATTGCTATTAAAGTACTTTTTCCAAACACTGCCAATAGTCTTTATAAAAACACTACTATTATATTATTTATCTAAACACTGATGTTAGAGTCTTTATCCAAAACTGGTACTAGTCTGGGGGCAAAGTGGCTTAGCACATTTGCCTTGCACATCTAGGGATGGGGGTTCGAATCTTGCCTCCACCCTGTGAGCACGGAGTTTGTATGTTCTCCCTGTGCTTCGGGGGTTTCCTCCAGGTAATCCATTTCCTTCCCAGTCCAAAGACATGTGTTGTAGGCTGATTGGCATTTACAAATTGTCTGTACTGTGTGAATGTGTGTGCGACTGTGCCTGTCCAGGGTTTCCCAAAGTTTGAGAACCAGTGATTTATGCTATGGCTACTTTTGGCCTAAGGGCAACAGCATTCGTGGAAAAGAGTTAAACATTTCCTCAATTCTAAACCAGTCTTAATGTATCATTAGTCAGCATTTTGATAAAACAAAGCCATTCCACATAAAGGCACTCTTACTTTTACCAAAGCAACTAAAAATTATCCCCATAGTAGGCACCAAGAACTGGCTTTGAAATGGCATTTCTGCTCTTGGGATCTAGAGTGGTTGTCAAAATTGGTTTAGGCAACAGTTTACATTACACTTAGTGCAACTTAATTTTAGCATCTGGAGTGTAATGTAGCCTGGACCAAAAAATGGGTACACTTACCTGGAAGGTACGCCCTGAATGCACAAACAAATGGAAAACACATGTGGAATATGTATACAGTACACTGGAACTGAAATGGACTTAATTGGGATTATACAAATCTACACAAAATAGCCCATAATACTGAAGTTGATGGGGATTTCAATATAGTTTTACAAATAAGTTGTCCACCTAGTTGTCCACCTAGTGGTGTAAAAGTGCCAGAAATTCACTTATATAGTCTTCTTTACGCAAAGGTAAAATCATGATAATGATTAAAATGATGTAAAATTCAAACTAACACATGTCTGAGTGTACAAAATTTTCCAAAAATATCTTCAGGGATGATTAGCCATTATGTGGTTATCTGCCACACTTGATGCAGCCCATCAAGGGCCACAAGGCTTAAACGTTTAAAGAAATCAAAGCTATCACATACTAAGTTCCTTTATCTATTAGTTTAATTCTGGCTAATTTCCTGACCAATGATTTGTTGTTAAGACAATTAAAGCTTAATATTTTGCCATTTTGGGCTTGTCCCATTTTGTATTACACTCCCAGGAGTGTAATACAAAATTTCAAGTAAACTCTACCACATGTAACAGGCTCAGACATTTGCATTAATCACAACCCATGCTGAGAGGGCGCATCGGACATTCAAAAGAGCAAACACAGATTCATCATCTATCCATCCATTCATCCATTTTCTGTACTGCTTATCCTACACAGGGTTGCGGGGAGCCTGGAGCCTATCCCAGGGGAATTGGGGCTGTGGACACCCTAGACGGTGTGTACAATCGCACACACACTTGCACACTATAGACAATTTGGAAATGCCAATCAATGCATGTCTTTGGACTGGGGGAGGAAACCGGAGTAGCTGGAGGAAACCCCTGAAGCATGGGAGAACATGCAAACTCTAGGGAGGATTTTGATAAAAGTCACTGTGAAAATATTCAAAATAGCACTGTACACACTTCATTCTTTTGGCTCTGTAATCAGAATTTCTTGTGGGGCATTAAACACCTTAAACACCCCAGACACAAATTCATTGTTTCTGTATTGTATACTGTTTTCTGTTCCTCCTTTGGAGGTGTGGAGGCAGAAATGGATCGTTTACAAAGAGAGATCGAGATCCTGAGATCGAGTGGAGAGAACAAAAAACAGGGTCATCATAATGTTCCTAAATAACAATAAATCAATAGTAAAAGCAACAGCACTAAAACCTCTGGAACTAAATGAACTCATTTATTTCTTCTTTTGGGAGTCATTCACCTTTCCAGAAAATGGTCAGACATAATATACTGTATATTGTTACATTGTTGTATTTTGTTGTATTGTTGTTGCATAGAATTCTTTTGTCGTCATAATCAGAATTACTAGTGAGACATTAAAAAACTTTCACACCCAATTTACAACTTCACTGTGTTTCTGTAAATAATGATAAGATAAAAAACACAGTGTCACTGTTGAACCTTGGCCAGTTCACTCTTCACCTCTGACACAGGGGCTGTAGTAGGCTCCGCCTCCTTTGGGGGTGTGGTTTTTGGAGGTGCAGGAAGGAACCTCCACAATGTCACTTTGTTTAGGCTGTGGAGGAGCCATAGGTGCAGATGATGGTGTGCCAAAAATGAGAGTGACAGTTTGCTGATCAGACACAGGCAGAAATGCTGAGCTAAGTTCCCCAGGAGCCGAGGGCTTCACATGCTCATCTGAATAAAACACATAAATTAAGTGAATTAATAGCTATAAGACAGAGGAAAGCACATAACAAACATTACAACATTAAGTCCTGTGCGAAAGGATCAATTTCAAAGTAAATGATGCTCAAAAATGGCCTATTTCACTTTGTTGACTTTGCGCACTTCCTCGAGCGCAGGGAGGCAGAAACAGACTCGACCTGGCCTTTCATGATGATCTTCCTGAGATCAAGTCTGGCACTACAACTACTGGACCAAATTAACTACTTTACTTCTAGGGAGTCTTTTGGGAGTCATTTTAGATTGCATATGGCTTATGTAGGCGTATGTAGACCATAATACAAACTGTTACTGTAAAGGACTGTGGGCTTTAACACTTCACAGTGATAAATTATTCAGTATTTATACAGT